CTTGATTCTTTGTTGCCGTCTTGTTTCATTGAGCTTCATAAGCAACAGTTGATGTTAACTCCATGGGAGCAGATACTTAAATCAGCTCAAAATGTGCTCTTCAATGAAGAACTGTTTGCACAGGTATAATACTGTACTATAATAATTAATGTATTTGTATTAATTTGGTTTAGATTGTACAATCATTTGTGATGAGGAACTTGTATTATATAATGTGAAACTGCACAAGAGGAAAGGTTAGAGAGACGTAACAAGATTACTAGAATATACAAAGTTTTACTAGGTCGTGACTAGTGGGTGGGTCATTGAAACTTATCGCTATAAAGAAAAACTACTCACACAAGTCACGTATCTTGTACAGGGGGTGTGGTTGTGGGTAAGGTCAAAGATGATGGTTCAACAAGTACAAGTCAAACGTCAGCCTGCCTGCATCGTCAAAAGAAAAATTTTTTTACAGCCTGTACAAAGAGGATAGACTAACGAGAGAGAGTGTCCCAGAGTTGAGGGAATGCATAGAAACGACTGGTTGTCTTGAGTTTCACGAGCCACTTACAGTGTTTTGTGGACAACACAGCATACAAGTACCCAAGATCATTTACGTACCTGATTCTGATGAAGGTATGAGCTTATTTTTTTATTGCTTTTATTTATTATTATGTTTTAAAGGTTCTAGCGATGGGAATAATAATAGAAGTAATTTACTTTATATTCTTCAATGAATGTACGATAGTATTAAGTCTTGCAAGCTGCAGCCCCTCACTTTCACTCTTTTGTACTTGAACAGCTACAGCTTGTAATGTAATGTGCTTATTGGAGTGCTTATGTGTGGAGAGTATAATATTAACTATAATTATTATTAAGAATGATGGCCATATGTACATGTGAATGTAATTTTAATAAAGATGAATAGAATGATGATGTGACAGAAATTTCTGCATGTATATACAATCCCATTTCATTGTTATGACAACTTATACTGGTGCATGAGGAAGTGGTGGTCATATGGGCATACTTTAGTAAACAGGACAATTATAATTTTTTATATTATCATAGCATTTACAATTTACTTGTTTGACCTTTTCATTAATAGGGACCAAAGCTACATGTAGGTGCATTGTCTGTACCTGTACCCTAATCACCATTATTCTAATAATGGCCGCCATTGCATTAACATTTCTTTTCATCTACAAGAACACTCAACATTTTGATGCTCAAAATATCAGTGTGTACAATGGCTATGTAACCTCTATCTACTACGATCAATTTTATGTCAATGAAGTGAATCTTATTTCCGATAGCTCAGCTACAGCAAGTGTCTATGTCGTCCCTATGTCTCAGTTATCATACATTCCTGTGGTGCTTCCTGAAAAGCAAATAGACAAGAGAAATTCTACTTTTTCTCAAAGATTTGAACTGCATTACGACCAAAGTGAAAACAATCTTATATGTAATACAGTTTGTGAATTTAATTTCACAATCGAGTTACAGCAAAATGGAATTGTTTCAGGCTGCCCAGCGCAACTTTTTTTGTATGACAACAAAGTGGACTTAAAAATTTTCAAAGATAATGAGCCTCATGGTTCAGTTGGTCACCCTGTTGCTCAAACTGGTTGTCTCCCTAAAACAGGAGTAGCAAATAAAAATTTCCATCTACCTCCTAACAAACTCTATTACATTGGTTGGTACGTTGCTAAAAATGTGGGTTATACCATTTGGCTATCAGCTAATCTAACAAGAATCAATATCAGTGGACTGAATGAGAACTGCAATGTTTCCTCACAACACACTACCTGCCCAATAACACATACTAAGTATCCACACAAAAAAGAGAATATATCTCTACTTTTTAATACCACAAGTACAACAATGATGGGTGTTAATGTAACTCCGGTTTTAGTGCAGTGGAATCTCCAACGTCTGATTGGTGTTTCTGCTTCTTCTTGTATAGGAGTAGTAGCAGTGATGGTAGCTGTCTCTGTTTGGTTCTATTACTGTATGATAAGAACTGTTGCTAGGAGTGGATACAGTACAATAGCTTAAATTACTTTTTGTTCAAATGTTTGCTGTTTTGTAATTTTTGTATTTCAAATTTTAAAAATAAAGTTTTTTCAAAAAAAAGAATTACTCAAATTTTTTCATACAATAGGTACAATTTTACATTTCTATTGTCACTATTATCAGTTTACAGTTTTTGCAGTTTTACTCAATGACTGCTTCAATATTTTGTTATACGTTTGTCGTTGCAATTAGTGACATAAATATATCCATTCTTATCCAGTGCTATACCAAATGGGTTAGATACTGAGATTAATTTGACTTGTTTCCTGTCAGGACACAAAGCATGAAGATAAGAGGTGTCACCATTATAAGCTGATACAAAGATATATCCCATATCATCAACAGCTATACCATTAAGGCCATTAAAGTTACCAGCTGGATTATTGTATGTATCAAGATGAGTTTTACCATCAGGAGAGAAGACTTGAACATAATTTTGATTATAAATGGTAACATGTATCTTTCCTTCATTATCAACTGCTACATCAGATGCTCTACCATCACATTGTATGACTTGTACAGATGTACCATCTTCTTTAAACACTTGTACTCTATTGTTGCTGTAATCAGCTACTAATATATTACCTTTACCATCAGTAGACATACCAAAAGGACGAGAGAATTGTCCATTTTCAATACCTTCACTACCAAACTGACCAATATACTGACCAGTAGTAGCTGAGAAATACTGCACACGATGAAGATTATCATCAGACACATAGAGCCTGTCTCCTACCAGCAATAAACCCCAAGGACACTCAAACTGTCCATTACCCTTACCTTTAGATCCAATCCTTCTTACTGCAGTACCATCCTCACTAAATACCTGAACAAACCCATCCCTACTACTAGCAAATACTTCACCATTAGTATGAACAGCAACACCAGTAGTACCATTCCCTACATCAAAGTATCTCTGGTTAGTTAGTGTGGTATAGTCTCTTGATGCTTTTACTGACAGTTGATAAGGACTACCTTTAATATGCTGACCTCTTATAGTCACTGATAGTTCATAGCCACCAATACTTTGAGGTGTGCATGATACAATGGCTGTGTTGTTATCATTAACTATAACAACTCTACCCTCCTCTTCATTACTATCACTTTTGATAAAGGAAGCCTTCAAATAGCTTGCTGCCTTATCAATGCCTGCTGGTAGAGCCACTTTGAATTTCCTTTCTTTCTTTACTGTTGCCAGTGGAATAGCTAACCCACTATCAATGGAGTATGCATCTATATTTACATGAACTTTGGAGACAGTTCCAAACTCACTGATTTTTTTATTTAATATAGACGTATCTAGATTTGTCACAATTGCTTCATTTTCTTCTATTTCTAGAGGTAGTTTCTTATACTCTTCAATGCATTCCTCTAGTTGATTGGTGATTAGCTTCTTAACACTGAGAACTTCACCTGGATCAGTACATTCTCTTACTGATGATGCAAGATGACGACCATGAGAAACCTGTTTTACCAGTTTATGAAACCCATCCAACTGCTTCTTGACTGAACTCCTCTTAGCGCTAGCAATCTCTTCTGTCTCCATTAGTAGATCATTGCATCTCTTATCTAAAGCAGCTTTAAGCTCTTCAAACGTTTCCTTGATTTCCTGCCTTATTTCTTCTTTACGTGTTGCTATCTGCTCTAGCATCTTCTCTCCATTAGCAATAGCTTTAGCGACTGGCGGAATGACTCCATCACAACTAGCAACACTTTCCTTTAATGCTTTACGTGCTGTTTCACCTTCATCTACATAATAATTGTAATTGTGACTTTTGTGGTGAATGTTAAGACAAATCTGACAAACTAAATTATTGCAATCCTTGCAGTAGTATGTCAGCTTTTCTGAATGTTGAATGCAATAAATGGCCTCATGCTTAACAGTAGGCAGTTCAATAGATTCCTTTGCTTCTAAATCGATCAACTTGTGACTGGCTTCTTTCTTGTTTCGCTTATGAACTTTCTTGCAAAGATCGCACAGAAACTGGCCACAATCACAACAATACACGACAGCTGCATCACTGGAATCATCACATTTATCACACGATACTGCTTCCTTGCTAACAATCTTCTTTTTGATCAAAGCCTCTTTTGATTTATGTTGAAACCAAAGGTTTTGAGTGAGGCCTTCAATTTTACCATCAGGTAAATTAACGCTAGTGTCACACATTGGACACTTTAATGAGGTATCAGTACTACCTTGCTTCTCTTTAGCTTTTATTAGACACTTCTTACAGAATGAGTGAAGACAGGGAAGCATGAGGGGGTCAGTGTAATACTCTGAACAAACCTCACAAGTCATAGTGATAGCTAGACTGGTGTTTTCTGCCATTATTACCTATGAGAAAGTGAATAATCTTCTGGTAACTGATAATATTTAACTTACTTAAGCTGTGATTGCTGTTGCTTCAAAAGTATCTGCTTGTACTGATGCCTCTTTAGTAAAGCGAAGGGGCTGGCCCGGCGAGACTACCTCTTTAGAGCCTCTTCTTTTGCTTGTCTATGAGCCCCGCCCTTGTTTGCGTGACTTTTATTGCAAACACCCCAAATAAATTTTAGGTTGTGATCCGCCCACAAATCAGCGAAATCGAATCACACAAGGCGCCCAATCTCGCGCTCATGGTAATGCTGGCTCGTGCTGGTTTCAAGGCAATGTCTCAGTCAGTGCAATTACTCCATACTACAAGAGTCAAGGAGATCAACTATGATGGAGAAGAGATATATGAAGGGTAACAGTCATTTGTTATAAATCCAATGATTTGCCCACCATTAATTTCATTGCAAATTTAATTTGGAAATTCATAATTAAATTAATAGCATTAGAAATAGGTACTTGTGTAAGATCCAAATGATGCAACTATTATACGGTTATAGAATTGCATTAATTGTAGCTTGTCATTACTTAAATATATTATGTATTTATTTGTAGGAGACCTTCTCTCTCTCAGAAACTAAGTGAGTTAGCTCAACATGTTGACTTTAGAGAAGAGAGAGCTGATGATGATAATGACAGAGAAGAAGGAAAGAAACAAGAGGAGGAGGAGGTGGAGGGAGTTTCTGGTCCTACAACTAAGAAACCAAGTCATCGCTGGCCATGGGAATTCACACACTCAAAACTCAAGTACATAAATACATGTATTTATATAAACAAGAATTAATAATGTATCAATGTATTGCATACATACATAAAGGATAGTTAAACTTTATTATTAGTTTTGTCTTTATTGCAGGCAAGCATTGACTGAAGTTAGTGTACTGTCTGATGTGTTACAAATTGTTCATAATCATCATCAATACTTGTCACTGGATCCAGTTTATGTTAATAAGAAATACACATTACCTCCTTCATATCAATACCAAACTAAAAAGAAGGTTAGCCTCATGATTTGTTACTCTACTCAGTTATGCATGCACAATACATGTACCTCACTATAGAAGATTATAAAGGCATAGTAT